GAGAATACTACTATATAATACAATTTAAAACAGGGTATGATCATTACTTATTCAATATTAAATGGGAAATAAACGATGACTACTTTATAATGTAAAGTAGTAAAATTAGTAATATTCTATGCAGCAACATAATTAATATAAAAGTGTAAAATATGTGGAAATTATATATCTTTGTAATAGATAAATAATAAAATGCACCTAATTAAAATATTGTATCTACTCATAGTGTAAATAAATAACAACTGATATAATAACCTTAAAAAAAAATGTTCTACCCTAACAGCGTTTTTGTTCTCACTATTAAATATATTGTAGTGCAAATAATCAAACAGTGTAAGAGTATAATAATATCTGGACAATTCACACAGCGCCATCTAGTACCAAGCTGCGCAGAGCTCGTGTTATGGATATGGATACTTTCATAAATATTATAGATATAAGGTCATTTATTACTTTTAAAAGTTATTCAGATCGTTGTCGCAAAAATTGAAATAAAATTAAAATTATAATAGAACATTAATATCAAACTCAAAGTAAAAATTAATATTTGACATATAGAAGTTGATAAAATACCAAAATTATTTCAATGAAACTATGATCTAACAATTCTAAGGCAAGGCTCGTTGTATTTGATTATAAAATTCCAAGACTAGTTCCGATTTATTCAAAGTTGAATACTTCCGCAGTCCGCACCCTTTATGGCATGCCATACAACACCATTGAGGGTAGCAAACCCCGCATTCATGTTTCTGTCTCGTTCTAAACAAAAAAGCCCCAATTCATAAGATCTTCGTTAGGTAGACATTCCGAGTTACCGTGTACTTATCGATTTTCGCCACTGACGTACGTTTTTCGCTACCCTGAATGAAGTTGAACCTTACAGATGTCTTGTGTACACAAAGAATAAAAATTATAGACAGATATTTAATTTATTAAGATTATTATATAATTTATATTAAATGAAACAAAATGTACACGATTCGTTTTCGGAAATGAAATATCTTTATGGAAAATCTGAACGAATAATTCCACATTCTATATTTTATAATAAAAACAAATGATAGAATAACAAACTTTAAGAAATTCTGAACATACAATTTGTGTGTAATTTTTAAGAGACTAAAGTCATAACTCGTACAAATGATAGTCATTTATTAAAATATAGGTACTATCTTTGTATACATGAAAACAATTGTTCACAGACTATTTAAAATGATTTTCAGATATAACTTTCCAGATATAAAAGCATTGCCGATGTCAAATATAAAAGCATTTACTCACATAAGAGACTTTTAATCACTTACGTATTTAAGTCATTTATTTAACTCTGCCATTCAAATTACTCCAGTTCAATTCCTACATGTGGGCACAAGAAAGAGATATCAGAAAACGGTTTATTTCGAAGACAGAAGCAAGAGATCAGCCCAGTTCAAGTAAAAAATGCTGACAACGAAGAGATCCGGAAAAGACAACAAGGACCGTATATAGACGACAGACTCTGGGAATGCACTTATAAAAATACAACAGATGATTCGTTCATATATTTCATGAAGAAATAACTAATTCACTAGTTTCATTATGTAATTCTGAAAACCTTATGAATATCGTTAGCATTTCCACATAAAAGTTCAGCGGAATGACTCATGAAATTATATATGTCGTGACAACTTAAGGCACCTTCATTGGTTCAATGATTGGGCTCATGACTCAACTTAATTAATGTTTCGTGACATAAGTGTATTATAAAATGTTTGTCCAATACAATCCAAATTCCGGAGAACAATAAGGTGTTACCACTCCTTTACGCAGAAGTGCACAAAAGTCTATTAAAAGAACAAAACGCAAGTGCAACACAAAGAAATCGAAATAAGAACATCAAGCAACGTAATCATCACTATGAGTGACCCGTGCCCAGTACTGCGACAATGAAAGGTTGTCACGATTTTATTGATCAATTCATAATAATACTAGCTGTGCCCGCGGTTTTACACGCATGGAATTTATAGCCATGCCATGCCATATATATGTATTATTCGGTTATACAAGCCATAATATTGTAAAGTTTCATTAGAATCCATTCAGTAGTTTTTGCGTGAATCAGTAACAAATTTCCTTTCATCCACACTCACGAATTTCTGCGTTTAAAAGATTATATAGGCAAAAGTCTGTCTGTTCTTTTTTGCTTTTTGACGACTAAACTGCTGAACGGATTTTAATGAAATTCATCATGAAGATACATTCTATTACGAGGGCGGAAAATGGCTCATCTCAAAAAATAATTTGGTGAAATAGGGGAAGTTTGTACAGACTAAGTCGCGGGTAATAGCTAGTTATTTATGAAAGGTTATAGCGTAAGTTAAAGATAAAGTATAAAAAGTATTTCGTGTTGTATGTGTCCTCGTAAATTCGTATATATTCGTATGTATACTTAATCGGCATTGTGAAAATCTCATGGCCCATTCTTTTGTTTGATGTCCTTTATCTTTTTGATTAATTAGTGTATGTTTTTTACTCGTATTTTGTTTTATACAATATGGCGTGTCTTATGTATATATCACATTTTTCCTTTACATAGTTATTGTCTGTAAGAGATTGCTTTTAGCGTTAAGACCGCCTTTTGCTATATATTTTTCAACGTACTGTTTTTCTCTTTGTACTTGTTTTCTGTTCATGAAAAAGAGTATTGTTATTTTAAAAAAATACTTATAAAATTATTATATGTTTAAGTAGTATGTACTGTTGTATATTATTGAAGTTGATTAGTTTTCGAGTATTATGTAGTTATCAATAATTTTATTAGGTAAATTAGGGGAAAATTGATTATATTAATGATGCGGAACTGCATTGTAATATGTTGCAAAAGCGTGATAGGTATATATTTGATCCAGATCAAGTAGCACGGTTCAGCAAACGTTATATAAATGTACCAGCACATTTATCACTATATTTTCCCTAATTTGAATATAAAAATTAATTTGTATATTTGTAAACATATAGTAGTTCATTTGAAAAGAATGAGAGGCTAGTTTCATGTCACTTCTTCTTTGCTCGAAAGTAAAGTAGTAACTGCCGGTAGATTTGATATATCATCAGTCTGCAATGACCTTGATGAATAAACATATTTTGATAGTATAATATAATCAATTTCAACAAAGCTAGAGTCTGGTGATTTCCTACAGATATTTTATACTGAAATATTCGTTGTGTGATCGCTCACAACAAACTTTATTTGAGAACTAAACCACCATTGGCGTGATTAATCATTCATTTTCATTTTATTTTCGATTCTTGAACTAGTTGGTCTACACAGGTCAAGTTCACTTCGAGCAACATGATTATTAATTATATTGTTTAATAATTCTATTCCATAATTCACATAAGAAAGTGTAAATAGAGGTCAAGTTGACTCATATGAAATCAATTTTACCTGATGGAAGCATACTGGTATTTACCACAGGAAAACTGTACAATCAAACAGCTTACTGTATTTCGGTTATTGGGTGAGATATGGTATGGATACGGATATGGATCAGTAAAATTACAAATATGAAGGCACATCATCTTAGTCTTTCATATTAGTGATGCTTGAGATGTACCAATAGCATAACATTACACGTGAGGTCTATAGTTTGGACGGCCTCAGTAGTCTAGCGGTTTAGCACACTGATTTCCGATGGTTGTGTTGTGGGTTTGATTTCTCGTATGGTACAAAATTTGAAGCGTCCGAGAACGGTACACGGTACAACATAGGCATGATTGTTTGTATCGGTCTTGGTGTTTTCTATGTAAATTATGCATATGTTTACAAATATATATATTACAGCACTAGTCTTCACGTCGGTACGTGGCCCACGTGATACACGTGACACCACTCACACGTCAGCATTCCTGAGGACTAAGGTGCCTTCGTGTCCTATACTCCCTGCAAGCTATGCTGAATATGATTACTTGTATTGAGTGTTTTCTATGTGTATTTTACATGTATTAAAAACAAGATATTACATCACTTCTTTACTACCCATAAAACAAGCTCTGCTTATTTTGAGAGTGAATCGTGATTTTAGAATGAGATTGAGAGAGAATGAGGTTGACCGCACTATGTAAATTGTCCTGAATTATTATTACATAGTATTGGAATATTTTTTTTATGTAGAGAATAGACAAATGAAATTTCACATGTTTGGATGATGGTATCCATTGTTACAATCTCTAAACACACATATTTTCTTCTAATGCGTAAATGATTTTGTTAAGTCTTTGTTTCGTCTTTTTATTATATATTTTGATTGGTTCTAAATGTATTTATTTAGTTTAATCACTTTTAAAAAGATCAGTACTTGTTTAAATTTGGATTACTCTAATACGTCTCAAGTGTGGGTAAAGTTTGAAATCATTCCTTTAAATGTACTTAGTTAATGCAAGAAAACAAAAGATCTATACATCAACATAGTTCAAATTAGTACAGTAGAGAATTTATTGATTATCTCCTAAAATTATAGTATTATTATATTATTAACGAATGGCGTTAAACAAAAATAGACTAACAATAATCCTTAATTAAAGTTCTCATAATATGACGTACGTGCACAGGTACTACCCACGCACAAACAAACCAAATAAATATTTAACGAGGTCATTTCATTGGTGTATCCACGTTAATTTTGACCACTTTCTGAATTGAATGTGTCGCCACGTAAATACTCGTAGTATTAATACATATGCAATGCAATGTAGTTCCCGCTGTAAGCGTTTTATGACACCTTATTTTGTTGTTTGAAAAATATAATCCCCATTGCACAATTATCATTTGCAATAGTCATTAGTAATCATTATGATGGTACGTATACAACACGAGACTTCCATTATGTAGCAGCCATGTACTGCAATCCCCGAGGCATCGTTCCAGACACAAACAAAGATGTGCCAGTTTCAAAGTTTACCATAGAGGTCGCCACTTGCGCCGCAATGTAACTATAAATATATTATGATCTGCTGTTTACCTGCCATCCCTGCAAGAGCAACGATCTGTCCACAGTTCGCAACCACATGACGGCATCCCCCGCTTGGAAGTCGCGCAGCCGGTGACACCGCGAGTGCAGGAACATGCCCAAGCACTTGAGCAGCTCCGACGTCGACGCTTGTATGACTGTCTTTCGCGGAGCTACGACCGGGCCGACCACCGTCGTCGGTAGCTTCTCCGTGTAGCACACATTGTTGTTGAGAGCGTTCGCGCGCGCGACCTCCGTCGGCGGCGGCGGCAGCGGAGCGGGTACCGGCGTCGGCCGCGCGTACACCGTACCCTGCACGCTCAAATTCTTGTTTCTGTCCAGTGGTGCATTGTCCGTAAGGGGCGGCCGGAACGTCGCTACGCTCTTGCTCTTGCATTCCAGTTTCTTCTTGTTATTGTTCGCCGTCGAGAACCGCTTCCACGAAAGAGCGTTGATGAACAGCGAGTGCTTTTTCAGGTTCTTCTCGAGGGCGGTCTTCTCGGAGATTATTTTGGCGGCGTCGTCGAGGGTGGCGCGGCGCTCGTCGCGCGGCATTTCGCGGTTCTCCCTGTTCTTGGCATTGTTGAGCCGCTCGTAGGAGTAGGCGAGCGCGGCGCGGTCCGGCGGCGGCGCGGCGGCGGCCGGGCGCCGCTCGCGCGGGCTGAAGCTCAGCACGGTGCCCATGAGGCCCGCGCGCGTGTAGCCGCTAGGTGCCCGCATGCATCACGGTCGCGGGCGGCGGCGGCGGCGGCGGCAGCCCGTGTGGGCTCGATACGCCCGCGCCTGCGCCCTGTTCCCGGCGTATCGACCGCGGCGCGCGCACCCAGCTGACGGGCTGACCGCCGCACGCCGCCCTGACTTCGGTGCCCCGCCCGCGCCAGTAAACAAACCCTTGTCTTCTTAGCGGTAAACCATGAGAGATCAGTTTATTAATTCCTTTTAGATAATGCCACGGTCAACACTTATCCATTAACCACTATAATAATAGATTCAGATAATATTTACAAAGGACAATTGCAGATTCAAATGAAAGAGTAATATTTGTCGGATCTGTTTAAATTGTGGATATTTGCAGATGTTATATAATAATGTGGTATTCTGTCCACCTATCCACATATTGTACATATGCCTACGAGTACATGCCTATGTTGTAATGAGTCACGTACCGAGCAATCTCCGATCATGTCGCACTCAGCAATTTGTCAGTCAAAGTTTTCCGCATCAAATGTAGGTTGATGAGCTAGCGGCGGCTGACCTGAATATAATTTTAATGAAAAAATTATCAACTTAAAAGCTAAGGCTGTCGAGAGAATAAAAGCTCCATGTTAATGATTCGTGAGCTCTTCCTTTTCAACGAAACTTATATCTAAAGAAAATGCTTTCTTTGTTATTGAGAACATTGTTATTGTTTATACTAATATATCAAGGAGAAACTCATTGAAAGCCAATTCACAGATGAAAGAATAGGTATATAATAATCTTTTAAATCTACAAATTTTGCATCCCAGATTCTATGTATACTAACTGTCTAAAACTAAAGAACTTGTTTAAATCTTTTGAATTATCCATCGCATCTGCAAAATATTTTTGCATCTAATAACTCAATTGTTGAGGATGGTTGTAAGTTATTAAACATCATGCTACGACTTAAAGGAGCCTAGTAAAACTGCTGACTGAACGCTATGCGAAACAGAAGTAATAACGCAAGCGGGTGCTGGTTGCAATACGACTAGCTCGGGAGATAATTGCGGCTATTCTGTTAAATTAAACTGCGGATAAAATTGCGGTATTCCATTAGTTACTACAGCTATCACACTATAATGAAAATAAACACGAAAAGGATATTGGTTGAGATTTATACGGTAATGACATTGCTTTCATTTAATCTGTGGTTTAACGAACCCCTTATCGATCCTCTGTCCCTTCCAACGGGGATCAAAATTACGACTACCTGAATTGAGGACTGCACCCCTATTAGTATCCTAAAGCTAAAGTATACGTCAAGCAGTTGTGTTTCAATAGCTCCAAAAGTCCTACCACCAGATTGACCTCTGCACTAGTCTGAATAAGCCTTAACAAGCTGTACAATAAATAAAACATTTTTCACTTTCGTTTACTATTGTATATGTACATCACAAAAACAAGATATTTATGGTGATATTTAAAAGTTTACGATTATTCGACCCTGCAAACCTACAAACGTCCTAATCACAAGTCGATTGTTCAAATAGGGGGAGATCTTTAACAATATTATCATGGTAATTCATATAAAAAGTAATGTATATTAGAATAGTTTTTTTATTATTTCTTATAAATTTAAGGACTTTGTAGAAACTAAAAGTACATACCAGCCACATTGTACTCTAAAACTAATTACTGTAGTTCGAAAATAACTTTATCATTACGACCCTAAAAATGATAACAATTATATAATTTTGTATGTAATACGCATTTATTGTAGACACCCTGCGCAATCGTAACTTTGAAAAACAGCTGTGAATTTATGCAAAGTGCTTGTCGCAAATTTCCCCAGCGTCTCAACTTCATAATAATATGAATGTTAAAGCAAGGAATCTCAATTAGTGAAACAACTTAATATGTAGAAGCCCACAATAATTAACGTTAAGTGAAGTAGATGCAACTGAACCTTGAAATAGAGTTCTGATTGAGATGGCGAAGATTATCAGCATAACAGCTATTTCTCTTGTTAATTTATCAATTTAAGCTTTTTCCTTTTTTAGATAAAAGATTTTAATGAAAATCCACTTTCCATCCACTATCCACAAAGTGGATATTCTTATGTCCTATGTTATATTAGGATCCGTCCAGTCATCAATCAACCAATCATAACAGTTTTTAAATGTGAATTGATAAATTGTAGGATATTTACCAAAGGCGAAAGAAGTGAGTTGTCTAGTCTATATCTTGGAATGAAATCGAAATGAAGCATAAGTTCTTTCACGTTTGTCACATAAAGTAAAGAAGAATAGGTCTGTTGGAATGCGTCACTTGACACCCAGCCCACAAAGGCTCCATTACTGCAATAAATATGATGACCTATTTTTTATAATGCGTGTTATACGATGCGTATAGAAAAATTATTGTACCTAATATCTTGATACATGGATCGAAACATAACAATAATATACCATTGGATTCAACATTAACATTTAATTTTTATATCTAAATATTTATGTTGATCTAAAAAATAAAGTCGTCTAATATTTGATTTACTAATAATCCGTGATTCTGTAGGATGAAAAATCGTGGAAACTTACCATTACACACATACACAAAAAATATATTTAAATATATTACAATATGGAAAATAAAGACGCAGTAAGATTTTAAGTACTTACTGCATAATATACTTATAAATAATCATAGCAATACGAACATATCTCAATTCAATATCAATATCAAATAAAAAATCAATATGCTACTATATAAATTTGCTAAGGACGGCGCTCACAACATTGTAGGTATAATTACAGACGAAACAATATGGCATAACAAAGTAAATAATAGTATGTAATTACGACTGCTATCTTATATGGGGTATTCAGAAGCATTGCTAATTGTTGTCGGTACTCAATTCTGTGGAAAAATCACCTAGCATTAACAAAGATGGTCTCTAGAAAGGATAGGGTAGAATTTCACTTGATACTAGCAATGCATCCTGTAGTCCCTATTACTAATGTCCTCCCCTCCCAGTATGTATGTTATCCTTACTAATATTATAAATGAGAAAGTAACTGTCTGTCTGTCGCATTTTCTCTCCAAAACTACTAAACCGATTTAAACTAAATTTGGCACTCAGATAGCCAGACTACCTATACTGAGACAGGACATAGGCACATACTTTTTAATTCAAATAGAAGGGTTGTAAGGGGTTGAAAGGGGGGATGTAAGGATGGTATGGAAGTATTGTCATTTTTAAAGATAGAAGCTTAAAACTTATATTTTAGGCTGTTGTTTAAATATAATATAATTAAAGACGGTATTCAAAGTTTGTAAAAAAATTACCTTTAAAGTGGTAAAATAAAATAGGGGATGAAAGTTTTTGGAGATTCTTTATTTTTGAAACTAGAACGATGAAACTTTTTTTTTGCTTTTTATATTTAGCCTAAATAACAAAAATGCTATATAAGACGACTATTCCACGCGGATGAAGTCGCAGGTACAGCTATATATGAGATTACTCTCAACTCTCAACTGATTAATAAGAAATGGAGTTCCGTCTAAGTAACATGTCTAAAACAATAAGGGTAGACGCCAAGCACTTTACAAGTAAATACATATTCATGAGGGGACTGCGTACATCACGGACAAAATCGTCTCGAAATTATACAAATGGGTATATATGCATACCCTCAAATATATGTAATATTTATGTTATATGTGGTTATTTATGTTTATGTTATATGAAGAATAAAATATGATGGATATAATGTTTATACAAATAAAGTTTATTATAATATGATTTCACACAACTAACATATTTTTTGGTAAATCATTTGGAATAAAACATACACCATTTTTAATTGGAGTTTATTACCATAAATTAGTTAAAAACCGCATATAAATCGGTAGATCCCTTTTGCATTATATTCGTTTTTCTTTGTTTTCAATTTTTCCCATATGCAAAGGTATATTTCATTACGTAGGTACAAAGATCAGTTATCATAAATAAACACTTTTGAAAGATCATATTTTTAAATCTACCACCTTGTTTTAATCCTCTTATAGAAAGTAATATTATACTTAAAGTATTAGATATAAAAGAAAAGTAATTTAAAAATTATTGATAACAAATGGAAATAAACTGAGAAAATAATATAAAAATTACGAATTCATGTAAGATATATTTTACATCAGGTAATCGAATTTTATTACTTAATAGTTTCTTTTTCTTTCTCTTTAATTTATTATTATTCCATATTTTATTGGGTTCAATGAACTCTAGTATGTTGTTTTGAATTTGCACGATGCGGTTGGAGGTATACGAGAAAGCAAATTTCCCCACTAAATCCATTACAATAAGCCATATATTTGTTTAACATTGGATTATCTGCTCCCCTTGCCTACCCTCGCCCTTACGTTTTAATCTCAGCGTGCTGATGTATGATATTTTGCTGTCGTTTTGTATGACGTTAATGGGATTAAACGTCAAATCTTGGTTGGTAGATAAATTTTAAATGTAATTATACATATCGCACCCATAATTCAACACTGTGTTAAGTAAAAAATATGAAATTTTAGGAAATCGACTTTAAAGCTTTAATTTTAAAGTCTAGTTACGTATACCTATACCACACAGATACTTCTTTTTAATATTTAATAATGGAATGGTGCACCCACCTGTGTTACGGGTATACACTGACGGGCACCAGTGGAGAAGGATAGCATGAGGATGATGTACGGCCTCGGTGGTCTGGCGGTTTAATATACCGCCTTCAGGTTATCGGATTCAATTCCTTGCACGGTCTCACACACAAACTCTGCTTAGCTTGCCACTAGATGGTGCTATGTATTTATTTATTCTTTATTACACTATTTAAAAAAATGTACAATTGACGAGCTTAATGCCATATGGCATTCTCTATCAGCTAACCATTAGGTAAAAACAGAAAGCGGTTGAAGGGCGGGCGGGCGGTAATGGGAAAACGCTATTTCTGAATTATCCTGATATTTTATTAAATTATATTTATTATAACTTA